AAACGGAACGTTTTCTCCGCCGATTAGTCGTATCTGTTGGTTCCAAACGGAACGTTTTCTCCGCCGATTAGTCGTATCTGTTGGTTCCAAACGGAAATGCCCCACTGACTTGTGCTCGTTGCCTTGGCAGCTCCAGGATGGGCTCGGCGGTGGAACGGACGGACAAACACGTCAGAGAGTACCTGATCTACAGAGGCTTCACCGGGACGCTCAAACAGCTGGACAGCGACATCAAAGCTGACAAGGAGAAAGGTTTCCGGGTGAGCGGGAACGTCTGGAAGCAGAACCTGAGCAGAACCGGTTTGCTGTGAGCGGTTGGAGGCTGACGGGGTGTCTGTGCTCCTCCAGGTGGATAAAATCATCGATCAGCTGCAGCAGCTGGTGCAGAGCTGCGACCTGCCGGGTCTGAAGGAGTACTGGCTCTATCTGGACCGCCGCCTGTTCTGCAGACTGGAGGATGTCTACCGGCCCACTGTGAACAAGCTGAGGACCAGCCTGTACCGCTACTATGTCATCAACACCATCCAGGTACCAGCTGAGCGCTGCAGTAGCAGCTGCCGGATCGCTGCTCCCACCTGAGCTCTGCTCCGTCTCTCATCCTGCAGAAAGGGAACGTGGAGAAGACCCAGGAGTTCTTCCAGAAACAGGCGCTGGAGCTGCAGGCTCAGGCCGAGTGGCGCGACTGGTTCGTCCTGCCTTTCATCCCGGCTCCTGAGCAGAACCCGGCCTTCGCCCCGTACTTCTCCCGGCAGTGGGCCGACACCTTCCTGGTCTCCCTGCACAACTTCCTGTCCGTCCTCTTCCAGTGTGTCCATATCCTTCAGCTGCACACTTAGAGCTTTTATCCTAGATCAGGTCTGTTTATGTGGATAGGTTCTCCTCAGCAGGATCAAAGTTCTGCTGGTTTCTGGTTCTTAACTTGGTTCCACCTCAGCCCGTCCTGCTGAGCTTTGATGCTGAAGTCCAGAAGATGACCAGCCTGATGGAGGAGAATGAACAGCAGCGCCAGATGGTGAGCATGAAGCAGGGTTCTCTGGGCTTTGACTAGGCCTTCACTCTACAGGGGTTCTGCTGGGTTCGGATCCTTTCGGTCCCTCTGGGTTTTGGGTCGTCTGGTTTCTGCTCCTTCAAACTCCCAGGAGGCCAGGCTGGTTCAAGGTCATGACCTTTGACCTGGTAACTGGGGCCTGCAGACTCTGAGGGCTGAGCCACATACTTCCTCACCATCCCATGTCTGACCCTCAGCTGTGGAGGATGGAAATGGGCTGGCGATGGGTTTATGAATGCTTTCTCAG